TAGGTTAGGATTCTTCCTTTTCTTAGGATTAGACATTCTAGTAATGAAAAATGCCCTCCTAGGCACCATACCAGTTTAATCAAGTTTTGTTTTCCTTTAGGTTATGGTTCTTCATTTCCTTAGGATTATACTAGCGAGTGGTGGATAACACCATTTGTCTCACAATACTAGTTTAATCCAATTTTTTTTCCCTTTAGGTTAGGTTTCTTCATTTTCTTAGGATTAAACGTGCTAGTGGTGGACAATGCCCTTCGTGGCACAATCCTAGTTTATCCCAGTTTTCTTTTCCTTTAGGTTAGGTATCTTCCTTTCCATAGGATTAGTCATTCTAGTTGTGCACAACACCCTTCGTGGCACCATATTAGTTTAATCCAATTTTCTTTTCATTTAGTTTAAAGAACTTCATTTCCCTTAGATTAGATGTGTTAGTTTAATGCAGTTTTCTTTTTCTTTTAAGTTAAGAATCTTCATTTCCTTAGGATTAGATGTGCTAAGAGTGATAATGCCCTTCGTGACACCATCCTAGTTTAATCCAAATTTCTTTTCCATTACATTAGGATTCTTCCTTTTCATAAGATTAGATGTGCTTGTAGTGGAAAATGCCCTTCGCGACAACATCCTTATTTAATTTAGTCTTCTTTTCCTTTAGGTAAGGATTATTCCATTCATTAGGATTAGAAGCACTAGTGGGGGATAACACCCTTCAAGGCACCATCCTAGTTTAATCAAATTTTCTTTTCCTTTTAGTTAGAATTTTTTTTCTTTAGGATTAGATGTGCTAGAGGTGGATAACGCCCTTTGTGGCACAAAACATATTTTAATCTAATTTTAGTTTCCTTTAGACCAGGATTCTTATTTTCCTTAGGATTAAATATGCTAGTGGTAGATAATGCCCTTTGTGGTACCATCCATGTGTAAAACTAGTATTCTTTTCCTTTAGGTCAGAATTCTTCTTTCCATAGGATAAGTCATGCTAGTGGTGGATAATGCCCTTCGTGGCATCATCCTGTAGAGAGAGTTGCTATTTGCATGTTTTACATTTTTGCAACTTGTATTATTTTGATGATTTCAAATATTATTATTTTTATATATCTCCTAACACTTTTTGGAAGTTTTATTTTTTCTCTAGTGTGTACTAACATTTCAGGAAATTCAACTCCAAGCGATGAAGACTTCAAACTATTCATTTATAAATTATAAGTTTTTAAATGAAAAGAAGTGATTGTAATTGAGTGAAAAACCATAACACACACTCTTAGGGGACAATTTTTGTGAATTGATCGTACGGAATGAACCTGGTTCATACGGGACGATCATGTCAATTAACCCCTCAGAAGAGCAATGGATTGAACATGCGAGGAGAAAATTTTCTAAGTCCTAATCGTCTAGGACGAATTTAATATTTATCCCGGGATGAACTTCTCGAGATTCTCACTTACACTGTTCGTCCAGACAAAAAATAAGGTTCGTACCGGGACGAAACTCTCTATATGAGATCGTACAAGACGAATTTATTTTTCGTCCCTGGACGAAGCTCTCTGTATGAGATCGTACAGGACAAATTTAATTTTCATCCCTGGACGAAGCTCTCTGTATGAGATCGTACAGGATGAAATTAATTTTCGTCCCTGGATGAAACGCTCTGCTATAAATCGTCCCAGGATGAAACCTGTTCGTCCCAGGATGAACTGAACCGACTTACGTCAGTTCATTACGTCCTGTAGAATTTTGGGAACCGACCTATGTAATAACCGTTTCGTTCCGGACGAACATAGTTCATACGGGACGATGAGCGTATACGAACATAGTTAATACCAATATACATTAGGATCGTTTCCGACACTTTAAGTAAAATCGTCCCGGACGATCCACGATCGTACAGGACGATCCACTGCGTACAGAATTGAAAACATGCAATTTTTTGGGCAGTTTTTATTATCTTTTGTATATATACTTCAAATTATACTGCCACCAAATCTTTTTGCCAATTGATCTTTGTGCCTATTGAAAGAAAAGTCAAAGAGAGAGTGTGAGAGAGCATTCAAAGGAGGATTCCTACCACTGGAGCGTGAGGGATTCACTTGGTGTTCAAAGGTAAGAATCTCTACTTGTGATTTGGGATTACTTCACTCTTTTCTTTCTTCCTTCTACATTTGTTGTGAGAAGATTTGTAAAGGAGATCGGGTTCTCTACCCATACTAGGAGAGTGTAAAAAGATGAAGGGTTCTCTGCCCACACTAGGAGAGTGTGAAAAGACGAAGGGTTCTCTGCCCACACTAGGAGAGTGTGAAAGGATGAAGGGTTCTCTGCCCTCACTAGGAGAGTGTAAAAAGATGACTGTTCTCTATCAACACTAGGGAAAGTCTAAAAGGACGATTATTCTCTGCCAACACTAGGGAAAGTGTAAAAGGATGATGGTTCTCTGCCGCACCAGGTAGTAGTGAAAAGAGTGGTTGTAAAGGCTTCTCCGCCTTGCTGTGGGTACAAAAGGAGAGACACTATTGGTATTAGTGCAATACTCAGAGGGTGCCTCTGGGGAGTGGATGTAGGTCTGGTTTAGACTGAACCACTATAAATCGTGTGTCCTTTTATTTTACTATTTTTTATTTTATGCATTTAATTTAGTATTTTAAAATTGTGGTTGAAAAACTTTTTATAAAAATTCATAAAATTTTAATTTTGGTTAAACTTATCAAAAGAGGGAAAAATTCTAAATACCAATTCACCCCCCCCCCCTCTTGGTAGCTTTGGGACATTAACTTAGGTCTAACAACCTATTTAGTAGACTCAACATGATAGAGTTAAAGTTTTATTGTATATGCTAACTACAATGATCGTCGTAGAAAAACATGTAACAACAATGATTGATTTGATGTGATTTTTAGAGGTAAATTTGAAAATTCAAAAATCCAGCAGCATTTCCCCTTATTTTGGGACTCAAGGTGTTGAATTTTCACACAACAAAAAGGTTCACAATAATTAGGGGAAAATCCCAAGATTTTTACTAGACCCTTTTCACTATAATTAGTGGCTTAGAGATGAAATGTCATAGTTTAATTTAACCAGAATAATTGAATTTTAGATTGAGTTTTAGAAGTGACCTAAAGAATTGAGAATTTTGATTTTTATATTGAAGAAATTTTCTATAAGTCATATATCTTAGCACACTATTGATTAATCTAAGCATGCAAGTTTCTAGCATTTAAGAAAGATTTAGGAAGGGCTAGGCTTGACTCTTTCGCTCTACCAATCAAATTGGAGGCAAAATGTCCCAGCCCGACCTCGAGGGAGGTTTCCTACACTCACCTCTCATTTCACATGTCTTCATTGAGTTGGCCACACTCACCCAAGGAAGAAATGGGAGAGGGACCAATGGAGAGAAGGGTAGTTAAGACTACCGATTCAATAAAATTCATATCGCTATTAAAGATCGAGAGTGAGATTTAACCCCAGTCGAGTTGCCAAATTTGTTTTGATTGAAAAAATAAGTTTTGAAAAAGAATTAATTTTCTTTGGGAAAGATTAATTTTTTATCTTTTAGTTTTAAAATTGAACTCTTTATTATGAATAATATATCACCTCGGGAGACGATAATATCATTCCTTAATAGGTTCAAATTATAAGACTTTGAACTTATCCTGATTACTATAGTCAAACATAGGAGTGAATTTCATATAACCCTAGAGGGTCAAGGCTAAATTTAATTGAGTTTTTGACTATATTAATCTGGATAAAATAATCATTAATTTCAAAATCAAAATCGTAATAATATAATGGTATATCTTTTCAAAGAAAGAAAATATCGTCTATTATTAATCATTTGAAATTGACGATAATGATAGTCAAATTTCTATTTACCAAAGAGAATTAATTAAAGATTTTGAAAGATTTATTTTGAAAATCAATTCTGGGTTTCTAAATCTCCTACGAGCGCAAGCCCTCATAGTTAATTACATCGTAGGAAATCGGGATTTCCTACGAAAACACTCGATTAAAAT